GATAACAGTTGCAGAGTTTACCAATCGCATCTCTGATCTAAGGAACAAGCTTGGCAAAGCAGGGCTGAAAGATGAAGGCCTTGTGGTCCCTAAACAACTGGGTGCTGAGGGCAAGATCCAGGGAAATTCTCTTGCTGGTGACAAATACTCGGTTGCCTACGACAGGACACCTGAAGAAATTCTTAGAATTGTCTATGGAAGTGGCAACGAAGCCACACCTGGTGGTTTCTATCCAAAGGGAGCTGATGGGGCTATTGCTAAATCTTATCTACACACTGCAAACCATTAATAGTGTGAAACTTGGCAGTTTTATGTTATCACCATCCATTTAAACAATTATGTTTTGTGTATAATGTTGTTTACGATCGTGACAACACTAAACTGAGCCAATAATTGTGACGTTTTGTCCCATTTATGTATCTTGTAGTTTGAATTATAAACCTTTATTTAATCGTATACAATAAGTGTCATTAGTTTTTTTCTTGTATGATGTTGACTAAAAAATCATCTTCTAAATATAAACTCTTATCATAAAGAGACTAGTGTATAAATGTAAAAGTTGTCACATAAATAACCTAAAATAACTAATAAACTTAAAAATCGGTATGAACACATAAGAATCTCAGGTTCGCAGCTCAAATCACTTGATCTAGCATTAACCATTTTCTAATTTCATATATTATCTTTAAAGAAAAGCAGTCAAGATTATCAAATCATTTCACTCAAGTTGGGATGAAAACCTTTCATGGAATCATTTGATGCAATAAATTCACAGTAACAACATGCAGAAGAAGCACTTCTGCTTAGACCTGTCAATTTCAAATGATATAAAAGATTATAGAATAAGAAATAAAATAATTAAATCATATCTGGATCAAATTAAAGTTGCAAATAATTTTATCATACGTAAATAAAAAATTAGAATCATTCAAGGAAACCCCCATAATTTCATAATCAAGACTCATTGATGGCCTTATATCTCGCCAAGGCAAAAAGAAAATATTTACTCCCACCTTCATAGTACTAATATATACTTATACTCAAATGTAATTAACTCCCAATTTTGTCCTTGCAACAATTTTTTTCTTTTTTCTCATAAAATGTAACTTTTCATACTGCTCCTTCATATATATTGATACTAAAATTTAGTTACCTCCAAATTTGTCCTGACATTAATTTAGTTCTTGTTTTTCTTCCTCTTAAACCGCTTCATTGTAGTACTAATGTACGTACAATAATTAGGTAAATATATAAGTTATTATAGTTCTTATTATTTTTATAAGTAGTAATGTTATTATCAATCGATGAATGGGTATTGTTTTCACTTTGATCAATAATAATTTAATATATAACTGAATTAATTATTATTATTATATTTAATATTTTCTAATCTAAATCAAAATTTGATCAATGTTTCTTCAACTTACTACCTAAAACAATTCATTTCAAGCCCTCTCCCCCCACCCACTCCCCCAAAAAAAAAAAAGATCTTACTAATTTAAGTTTAAAAACAAAAGGAAACTTATTCTTATCTCACATCCAAACTTTCCCATTTTTACTAATGTTCCCATTAAAATTATTTGCTTTGGAAGTAATATATATATGTATATATATACTTTCTTAATCCAATCACATATCCAAAATTTACACTTATTCTTGTTTCAACAAAATTTCCAACCTTCATTTGTTTTTACCATTTAATCCGTCACCTAAATATGGAAAGACAAACGCTCAGTTATTTATTTACGCCGACAATCTGCCGAACTGGCAAACTTCCCTCCTTAAATCCTTATTCACCGATGATAAATAACCACAATAAGATAGATACCCACATGGCAGTCCCACAATCAGCCAAGTATTCTATTCCCAAAAAATGCAAGTTCCGTTTCAAATGCATCTTTGTATATTATACACGTTTACGTAAGCCTATAAATACATATGACAAAACCCTTCACACACCACCAACCACTAGCCAAAAAGAGATAATGGCACTCACCTTCTCTGCTTCATTGATCTGTGTTCTTGTTCTGCAATCTTTCCTCTTAAAAATAAACTCGCACCCATATGGGTCTGATGTGCGAAAGGGTGATAAGGATTTGCTAGAGTTCCCGTTGAATCTGGAGTACTTGGAGGCTGAGTTTTTTTGCCATGGCTCATTAGGATATGGGTTGGACAAGGTTGCTCCCGAGCTGACCATGGGAGGCCCTCCTCCTATTGGTGCCAGAAAGGCCAATCTTGATCCCTTAATAAGAGATATTGTGGAGCAATTTGCATGGCAAGAAGTTGGACACTTGAGGTTTTGCATACGCATTGTTCAATCTTCAGTTTTCTTTAATTATTTGTATTGAATTGCTTCGGATTAGATTTTTTACTTCATTTTCGCGTAGGGCAATTAAGTCGACGGTCAAAGGATTTCCAAGGCCGCTGTTGGATTTGAGTGCAGCAACATTTGCCAAGGTGATTAATAGTGCATTTGGGAAGAACTTGCGGCCTCCTTTTGATCCTTATGCCAATAGCATCAACTTCCTTACTGCAACCTACATAATTCCTTATGTTGGACTTACTGGATATGTTGGAGCAAGTCCTAGGCTCCAAGGTGCTACTTCCAAAAGAGTAAGTCCCTAGCACATAACAAAGAATGAAAACCGTAATATTTCTAATTCATAAAATGATATATAGTTCAAATTATTTTGTATTTTCTTTTCAAGTTTGTAAACTAATCCAATTTTGGGTTTTTTCAGCTTGTTGCGGGACTTTTGGGTGTGGAATCCGGTCAAGATGCTATAATCAGAGGGTTATTATACGAGAGGCTAAATACGACAGTAAGACCTTATGAGATAACAATTGCAGAGTTCACTGATCGCATATCTAATCTAAGGAACAAGCTTGGTGGAGCAGGGTTGAAAGATGAAGGCCTTGTGGTTCCTAAAGAACTGGGTGCCGAAGGCAAGATCGAGGGAAATACACTTGCAGGAGACAAATACTCGGTTTCCTATGAAAGGACACCTGAAGAAATTCTTAAAATTGTCTATGGAACTGGAAATGAATCAATTCCTGGTGGTTTTTATCCAAAGGGAGCTAACGGTGCCATTGCGAAATCTTATTTATCTACCGCAAACTACTAAAAGTGGGAAACCTGACAGTTTTAAGTTACCACTGTCAATTTAAGCAACTATCTTGTGTGATTAATGTTGTTCTTTTGAGTCGATAATTATGTCATTTCATATCTTCTACGTATCTTGTCTTTTTGACTATTTAATCCTACTCGTTTATAAATGTACAAGTTGTCATATAAATAATTCGAGATAACCAATAAAGTTAAGAATCTGCATTAAACATATAAAAATTTCATATTCACAATTCAACCATTTGCGACACAAAAATAAAAAGGGCAACCGTAAAGTTTGATGCGCTTAAAACCATAATGCACTTGCAATCAGGTACTTTTAATTGTTGACTCAGTCAATCAACAAGGGCTACAAATCTGTACACAGCTAAAAGTTGATGACTAACAAAAGGCTTTTGGCCACGTTTGCATTCATATATGAAGTAAAGATCTTGGCAGATTGCACATCAAATTGATTTTATGTAGTCTCAATAAAAAATTTTATATATACCATGAGTTTTTATGCATAATTTTATTGAACATTTCTGTAAGAATTTAAAGTTACAATTTTTTTTCAATACTATAATGTAGATCTAGTAAAAAAAAAAAGTGCGGCATTTTTCATGTTTCTTAGACAAATTTCAATTTATGATTTTTAATACGATTGAATTGAAGAATTCTCAAATATAATGTTAAGAGTCCTTTGCTATTCGAAATTCTTCCATTGCTAACCATAGCCTTTTGTATTCTTTTAAGTTTTTCTTCTTATTAAGTCGGTAGATTCTTTCTCTTCTTTTTCTCTTTTTTTTACCCAAAAAACATCAACCCTATTTTAATTAGAGCTAGATTTCATAGGTTTTTTTTTTTTAAATTAATTTCCCTAACCGCATTAAGTATGCACCACTAAGTTTCATATTTATTCCCTAATTTACGCAAATTCAAAAGACAAATTATTCCAATATACTTGCAAATTCAATACCCTAATTTTTTGAGGTGAAAAATATTTTGAGCTATTAACTGCAATTTTTTAGTTTATTTTTCTTAAAATATATAATCAACTTAGTCGGATTCAAACAAAAAAAAAATTCATTGAAACAGACTCAATTTCGATGTTATGATTATCTAAAGTTTTAAATACCAAAAATTATATGGTTTTGTAGGTCATGTTAAAAGCGTATTTTTACTTTGCATTTGGCATGCCAAAAGTATTTTGAGTTGTACTCCTTTGGTTGCACAAATGCTTTTAAAGCACAAAAATCAAAGCCGAAAGTTCAACCAAATGGGGTCTAATATATATTTATATATGTTAATTAGGTAAATACTATTTGTAGCATATATTATTAATTAATTTATTTTGTTAAATAGGTCATGAAAAGATTGTATTTTTCATTGATAAGTAAGATAAAAGAGTTTTTCCTTTTAGAGACACAATACAACCTAAAAAGGAAAATAAATTTACAGTTATAAATATACAAAAATAAACCTTGATTTCTAGGAAGAAAATCATATCCCCGTAATTATAAAATATACGGTCATGGATTCTCAACACTCTCCTTCAAGCTGCCTGAAAGTCGTCATTAATAGCCAGCTTGTTCACCAATTTTATCAAATTGCTTCTTCAGTAAGCCTTTAGAGAGTACTGCTACTTGTTCAAACATAGAAATATAGGACATAACAACGAACCCAATTTCCAATTTCTCCTTAATAAAGTATGTGTTAACTTCAAGATACTTAGTTCTATCATGGAGTATTAGATCATGTGCTATTGCAATGGTGACTTTATTATCACAAAAAACTTCCATGGATAAGGGACTAGTAGCTTTTAAGTTCTTCAAGAAACTATTTAATCCATAAAGCTTCACATATACAATGTGCCACCATCGTAAACTCTGCTTCAACACTATTTCTAGCCACCATATTCAGTTTTTTCTAAGCCAAGTTGTAAGATTTCCTCTAACAAAAGTACAATACCCGAAGTTGATCTTCTGTTTTACTTCCTTTGAATCATGGGCAAAGGCTCCCTTCGCTAGGGTCATACCTACACATGAATGGATGAATTATTGTCATATCTTAAATTTGTAATCAAATCAAAATGATCATCATTTCTTTAATTTACTTGCCAAAACAATATATTTCAAGCCAAAAGAAAAAGAACACCCTAATAATTAATTTTGACTCCAGAAGGAACCTTACGTGTAAAAAATATTCAATTTCCATTATTTTTTTAATTATTTTTATTATTTACCTTGTAAGTAATATACTTGTCTCATTTACATAACAATTAAGTATTCAAGTCCAAATCCTCATGTTCCATTTCTAATAGATATTGTAAATAGAGATATGTATATGTAAGCCTATAAATACATGTGACAAAACACTTCATACATCACCAACCACTAAGAAAAAACAATGGCAGTCACCTTCTTTGCTACATTGATCTGTGTTCTTGTTCTGCAATCCTTCTTCTTAAAGATCAACTCGAGCCCATATGGTTCCGATGTGCCAAAAGGTGATAAGGATTTGTTAGAGTTTCCATTGAATCTGGAGTACTTAGAGGCTGAGTTTTTCTTGTATGGCTCATTAGGGTATGGGTTGGACAAGGTTGCTCCCCAGTTGACTTTGGGAGGCCCTGCTCCTATTGGTGCCAAAAAGGCCAATCTTGATCCCATTACAAGAGATATTATAGAGCAATTTGCATGGCAAGAAGTTGGACACTTAAGGTATCGTATCTGCATTTTTCACTCTTGAATTTTGTTTAATTATTTGTGTTGAATTCATTTGGTTTGTCTTATCTCATTCCTTGACTTCTTCCATTATTTAATATAAAGGGCAATTAAATCGACTGTCAAAGGATTTCCAAGGCCACAATTGGATTTGAGTGCAGGGTCATTTGCCAAGGTGATTAATAGTGCATTTGGGAAGAACTTACAGCCTCCTTTTGACCCCTATGCCAATAGCATCAACTACCTTATTGCATCCTATGCAATTCCTTATGTGGGACTTACTGGATATGTGGGAGCAAGTCCCAGACTCCAAGGTGCTACTTCAAAAAGGGTAAGCTCCTAATATATAACGAGGAAAGAAATCAATAACATTCTTAATTCATAAATGATATTTAAATCAACTTATTCTATAATTTTTTTCTTTTACTTGTCAAATAATTATCCAATTATCTGTTGCATACAGCTTGTTGCGGGGCTTTTAGGCGTGGAGTCTGGCCAAGATGCTGTAATCAGAGGGCTTTTATATGAGAAGTCAAATCTGAAAGTGATGCCTTATGGGATAACAGTTGCAGAGTTTACCAATCGCATCTCTGATCTAAGGAACAAGCTTGGCAAAACAGGGTTGAAAGATGAAGGCCTTGTGGTCCCTAAACAACTAGGTGCTGAGGGCAAGATCCAGGGAAATTCTCTTGCTGGTGACAAATACTCGGTTGCCTACGATAGAACACCTGAAGAAATTCTTAGAATTGTCTATGGAAGTGGCAATGAAGCCACACCTGGTGGTTTCTATCCAAAGGGAGCTGATGGTGCCATTGCTAAATCTTATCTACACACTGCAAACCATTAATAGTGTGAAACCTGGCTGTTTTATGTTATCACCATCCATTTAAACAATTATGTTTTGTGTATAATGTTGTTTACGATCGTGACAACACTAAACTGAGCCAATAATTGTGACATTTTATTCCATTTATGCATCTTGAATTTTGAATTATAAACCCTTATTTAATCATATACAATAAGCATCATTAGTTCTTTTCTTGTATGATGTTGACTAAAAAATCATTTTCTAATTAGACTCTTATCACAGAGAGAACGGTCCATAGATGTACAAGTTATCATATATCTAGACTAAAATAACCAGTAAACTTAAAATCTGAATAAATATATAAGAATCGTAGGTTCGTAACTCAAATCACTCGATTTAGCATCAACTATTTTCTAATTTTATATATTATCAGTATAGAGAAGCAATCAAGATTGTCAAATCATTTTACTCAGGTTGGGAGAAAAACCTTTCATGGAATTATCTGATGCAATTAACTCACAGTAACGACATGCAGAAGAGGAACTTCTACTTAGACCTGTCAATTTCAAAAGATTATAAAACCAAAAATAATATAGTTAAATTATATCTGGATCAAATTGAAATTGCAAATAATTTTGGTAAACAAGGTGCTTCGAGCCTGCTAGACATGGGAATGAGATTCCTGTTGGTTTGTTGATTAAATAATTTATATTTCTCTATATTTCTTACGTGCATCTGTAAGTTATTTTGAACTTTTCGAGAAATGATCGCGTCATTTGCAAGAATGATAATTCTTCTAAGTTAAAACTTTTGAGTATTTCATTATCACTTAAAGTCAAGCATACAGCCCGTGCATCTTACAGTTGTACATTTTTTAAGCAAAAATTTTCAAATGAATAATCTCATTTCTTTTAAGCAACTTCACTACACAAGAGTCCTATCTAAATACCCATTTTGGGAATTCTACAACTAAAATTTAAAACAAGAAAAAGAATTTACCAGCATATGTGGGGGGGTTTGGATCATTATTATTATTCTTATGATATTATTGTTACAATAAACTTTTGACCTCAAAAAAAAATAATAGTATTATTATAATAAATTTTAAACTAATTGTTCATGATCGTAATTAAAGAGTATTTATAGTAACCAAATATTATTATTAGTATTATTATTATTACAGCTATTATCACGTTATATCACCATGATCGTTATTATTATTATTATTACTATTATTGTAAACTATTACTAATAAATGAGCCAATCGTTTTACGTGAAATACATGCTATTTTGTATTATTGTCATTTTAATCAAATCAAAATGACCATCATTTCTCTACTTACTAAAACAATTCATTTCAAGACAAAAAAAGAATATCATAATAATTAATTTTAACTCCAAAAAGAACCTTACGTATCCAAAATTTCTTATTTCTTGTTGTTCTAATTATTTTTATTATTTACCCTGCAAGTAATATACTTGTCTCATATGCATTACAGTTAATTATTCGATTCCCAAATCCCCATGTTCCATTTCTAATAGATCTTGTACATAGACATATGTATATGTAAACCTATAAATACATGTGACAAAACACTTCATACAACACCAACCACTAAGCAAAAACAATGGCAGTCACCTTCTTTGCTCCATTGATATGTGTTCTTGTTCTGCAATCCTTCTTCTTAAAGATCAGCTCAAGCCTATATGGTTCCGATGTGCCAAAAGACGATAAGGATTTGTTAGAGTTCCCATTGAATCTGGAGTACTTGGAGGCTGAGTTTTTCTTGTATGGCTCATTAGGGTATGGGTTGGACAAGGTTGCTCCCCAGTTGACCTTGGGAGGCCCTGCTCCTATTGGTGCCAAAAAGGCCAATCTTGATCCCATTACAAGAGATATTATAGAGCAATTTGCATGGCAGGAAGTTGGACACCTAAGGTATCGAATCCGCATTTTCCAATCTTGAATTTTCTTTAACTATTTGTGTTGAATTTATTTGGTTTTAGTCTTATCTCATCCCTTGACTTGTTTCATTATTTAATATGAAGGGCAATTAAGACGACTGTCAAAGGATTTCCAAGGCCACAATTGGATTTGAGTGCAAGGTCATTTGCCAATGTGATTAATAGTGCATTTGGGAAGAACTTACAGCCTCCTTTTGACCCCTATGCCAATAGCATCAACTACCTTATTGCATCCTATGCAATTCCTTATGTTGGACTTACTGGATATGTGGGAGCAAGTCCCAGACTCCAAGGTGCTACTTCAAAAAGGGTAAGCCCCTAATATATAACGAGGGAAAAAATCAATAACATTCCTAATTCATAAGTGATATTTAAATCAACTTATTCTATAATTTTTTCTTTTGCTTGTCAAATAATTATCTAATTATCTGTTGCGTACAGCTTGTTGCGGGGCTTTTAGGCGTGGAGTCTGGCCAAGATGCTGTAATCAGAGGGCTTTTATATGAGAAGTCAAATCTGAAAGTGAAGCCTTATGGGATAACAGTTGCAGAGTTTACTAATCGCATCTCTGATCTAAGGAACAAGCTTGGCAAAGCAGGGTTGAAAGATGAAGGCCTTGTGGTCCCTAAACAACTGGGTGCTGAGGGCAAGATCCAGGGAAATTCTCTCGCTGGTGACAAATACTCGGTTGCCTATGATAGGACACCTGAAGAAATTCTTAGAATTGTCTATGGAAGTGGCAATGAAGCCACACCTGGTGGTTTCTATCCAAAGGGAGCTGATGGTGCCATTGCTAAATCTTATCTACACACTGCAAACCATTAATAGTGTGAAACTTGGCAGTTTTATGTTATCACTATCCATTTAAACAATTATGTTTTGTGTATAATGTTGTTGTCGATCATGACAACACTAAACTGAGCCAATAATTGTGACGTTTTATCCCATTTATGTATCTTGTAGTTTGAATTATAAACCTTTATTTAATCGTATACAATAAGTATCATTAGTTTTTTTCTTGTATGATGTTGACTAAAAAATCATCTTCTAAATATAGACTCTTATCACAAAGAGACTACTGTATAAATGTACAAGTTGTCACATAAATAATCTAAAATAATCAATAAACTTAAAATCTGGATTAATATATAAGAATCTCAAGTTCGCAATTCAAATCACTTAATCTGGCATCAACCATTTTCTAATTTCATATATGATCAGTAAAGAGAAGTAGTCGAGATTATCAAATCATTTCACTCAGGTTGGGAGAAACACTTTTCATGGAATCATGTGATGCAACGAACTCACAGTAACGATATGCAGAAGAGGCACTTCTGTTTATACCTGTCAATTTCGAAATATATAAAAGATTATAAAAATAAAAGAATAATATAATTAAATCATATCTAGATCAAATTGAAGTTGCAAATAATTTTGTCATACCTAAATAAAAAATTTGAATCATTCAAGAAAACCCCCCACAATTTCATAACCAAGACTCATTGATGGCCTTATATCAGGCCAAGGCAAAAAGAAAACATTTACACCCACCTTCATAGTACTAATATATACTTATACTCAAATGTAATTAACTCCCAATTTTGTCCTTGCAACAAATTCTTTCTTTTTTCTCATAAAATGAAACTTTTCATCCGCTCCTTCATATATATTGATACTAAAATTTAGTTACCTCCAAATTTGTCCTCACATTAATGTAGTTCTTGTTTTTCTTCCTCTTAAACCGCTTCATTGTAGTACTAATATACATCTAATTATTAGGTAAATAAACCATTTCATTGTAGTACTAATATACATACAATAATTAGGTAAATATACCATTAGTAGCACATACGTACAAGTTATTATAGTTCTTATTATTCTCTTAAGTAGTAATGTTATTATCAATGTACACAAGCCATTGTCGTATTATTTTCACTTTGATCAATAATAATTTAATATATAAATGAATTAATTATTATTATTATTATTATTGTATTTAATATTCCTAAACTAAATCAAAATTTGATCAATGTTTCTTCAACTCACATCCGAAATTTCCCATTAAAATTATTTACTTTGTAAGTAATATATATATATATATACTTTCTTAATCCAATCACATATCCAAAATTTACACTTATTCTTGTTTCAACAAAATTTCCAACCTTCATTTGTTTTTACCATTTAATCCGTCACCTAAATATGGAAAGATAAACGCTCAGTTATTTATTTACGCCGACAATCTGCCGAACTGGCAAACTTCCCTCCTTAAATCCTTATTCACCGATGATAAATAACCACAATAAGACAGATACCCACATGGCAGTCCCACAATCAGCCAAGTATTCTATTCCCAAAAAATGCAAGTTCCGTTTCAAATGCATCTTTGTATATTATACACGTTTACGTAAGCCTATAAATACATATGACAAAACCCTTCACACACCACCAACCACTAGCCAAAAAGAGATAATGGCACTCACCTTCTCTGCTTCATTGATCTGTGTTCTTGTTCTGCAATCTTTCCTCTTAAAAATAAACTCGCACCCATATGGGTCTGATGTGCGAAAGGGTGATAAGGATTTGCTAGAGTTCCCGTTGAATCTGGAGTACTTGGAGGCTGAGTTTTTTTGCCATGGCTCATTAGGGTATGGGTTGGACAAGGTTGCTCCCGAGCTGACCATGGGAGGTCCTCCTCCTATTGGTGCCAGAAAGGCCAATCTTGATCCCTTAATAAGAGATATCATGGAGCAATTTGCATGGCAAGAAGTTGGACACTTGAGGTTTTGCATACGCATTGTTCAATCTTCAGTTTTTTTTAATTATTTGTATTGAATTGCTTCGGATTAGATTTTTTACTTCATTTTCGCGTAGGGCAATTAAGTCGACGGTCAAAGGATTTCCAAGGCCGCTGTTGGATTTGAGTGCAGCAACATTTGCCAAGGTGATTAATAGTGCATTTGGGAAGAACTTGCGGCCTCCTTTTGATCCTTATGCCAATAGCATCAACTTCCTTACTGCAACCTACATAATTCCTTATGTTGGACTTACTGGATATGTTGGAGCAAGTCCTAGGCTCCAAGGTGCTACTTCCAAAAGAGTAAGTCCCTAGCACATAACAAAGAATGAAAACCGTAATATTTCTAATTCATAAAATGATATATAGATCATATTATTTTGTATCTTCTTTTCAAGTTTGTAAACTAATCTAATTTTGGGTTGTTTCAGCTTGTTGTGGGGCTTTTGGGTGTGGAATCCGGTCAAGATGCTATAATCAGAGGATTATTATACGAGAGGCTAAATACGACAGTAAGACCTTATGAGAGAACAATTGCAGAGTTCACTGATCGCATATCTAATCTAAGGAACAAGCTTGGTAGAGCAGGGTTGAAAGATGAAGGCCTTGTGGTTCCTAAAGAACTGGGCGCCGAAGGCAAGATCGAGGGAAATACACATGCAGGAGACAAATACTCGGTTTCCTATGAAAGGACACCTGAAGAAATTCTTAGAATTGACTATGGAACTGGAAATGAATCAATTCCTGGTGGTTTTTATCCAAAGGGAGCTAACGGTGCCATTGCGAAATCTTATTTATCTACCGCAAACTACTAAAAGTGGGAAACCTGACAGTTTTAAGTTACCACTGTCAATTTAAGCAACTATCTTGTGTGATTAATGTTGTTCTTTTGAGTCGATAATTATGTCGTTTCATATCTTCTACGTATCTTGTCTTTTTGACTATTTAATCCTACTCGTTTATAAATGTACAAGTTGTCATATAAATAGTTCGAGATAACCAATAAAGTTAAGAATCTCATGTTCACAATTCAATCATTCGCGACACAAAAATAAAGAGGGCAACTGTAAAGTTTGATGCGCTTAAACCCATAATGCACTTGCAATCAGGTACTATTAATGGTTGACTCAATCAATCAACAAGAGCTACAAATCTGTACACAATTAAAAGTTGATGACTAACAAAATGCACTTGGCCAAGTCTGCATTCATACTTGAAGTAAGAATCTCTGCAGATTGCACATCAAATTGATTTTATGTAGTCTCAATCAAAAATTTTATAAATACTATGAGTTTTTATGTATAATTTTATTGAACATTTATGTAAGAATTTAAAGTTACAATTTTTTTTCAATACTATAATGTAGATCTAGTAAAGAAACAAAGTGTGGCATTTTTCATGTTTCTTAGACAAATTTCAATTTATGATTTTTAATATGATTGAATTGAAGAATTCTCAAATATAATGTTAAGAGTTCTTTGCTATTCGAAATTCTTCCATTGCTAACTATCACTTTTTGTATTCTTTTAAGTTTTTCTTCTTATTAAGTCGATAGATTCTTTCTCTTCTTTTTCTTTTTTTTTTACTCAAAAAACATCAACCCTATTTTAATTAGAGCTAGATTTCATAGGTTTTTTTGAAAAAAAATTAATTTCCTTAGCCGCATTAAGTATGCACCACTAAGTTTCATCTTTATTCCCTAATTTACGCAAATTCAAAAGACAAATTATTCCAATATACTTGCAAATTCAATACCCTAATTTTTTGAGGTGAAAAATATTTTCAGCTATGAACTACCATTTTTTACTTTATTTTTCTTAAAATATATGGTCAACTTAGTCGGATTCAAACAAAAAAAAAACATCATTGAAACAGACTCAATTTCGATATTATGATTTTCTAAAGTTTTAAATACCAAAAATTATATAGTTTTGTAGGTCATGCTAAAAACGTATTTTTACTTTGCATTTGGCATGATAAAAGTATTTTGAGTTGTACTCCTTTGGTTGCACAAATGCTTTTAAAGCACAAAAATCAAAGCCGAAAGTTCAACCAAATGGGGTCTAATATATATTTATATCTGTTAATTAGGTAAATACTATTTGTAGCATATATTATTAATTAATTTATTTTGTGAAAAAGCTAATGAAAAGATTGTATTTTTCATTTATAAGTACGATAAAAGAGTTTTTCCTATTAGAGACACAATACAACCTAAAAAAGAAAATAAATTTATAGTTATAAATATACAAAAATAAACCTTGATTTCTAGGAAGAAAATCATATCACCGTAATTATAAAATATACAATCATGCATTCTCAACACTCTCCTTCAAGCTGCCTGAAAGTCGTCATTAATAGCAAGTTTGTTCACCAATTTTATCAACTTGCTTCTTCAGTAAGCCTTTAGAGAGTATTGCTACTTGTTCAAACATAGAAATATAGGACAAAACAACGAATCCAATTTCCAATTTCTCCTTAATAAAGTATGTGTTAACTTCAAGATACTTAGTTCTATCATGGAGTAATAGATCATGTGCTATTGCAATGGTGACTTTATTATCACAAAAAACATCCATGGATAAGGGACTAGTAGCTTTTAAGTTCTTCAAGAAACTATTTAATCCATAAAGCTTCACATATACAATGTGCCACCATCTTAAACTCTGCTTCAACACTATTTCTAGCCACCATATTCTGTTTTTTCTAAGCCAAGTCGTAAGATTTCCTCCAACAAAAGTACAATACCCGAAGTTGATCTTCTGTTTTACTTCCTTTGAATCATGGGCTAAGGCTCCCTTCGCTAGGGTCATACCTACACATGAATGGATGAATTATTGTTATATCTTATATTTGTAATCAAAATGATCATCATTTCTTTAACTTACTTGCCAAAACAATATATTTCAAGCCAAAAAAAAAAAGAACATCCTAGTAATTAATTTTGACTCCAGAAGGAACCTTACGTATCCAAAATATTCAATTTCCATTATTGTTTTAATTATTTTTATTATTTACCTTGTAAGTAATATACTTGTCTCATTTACATAACAGTTAAGTATTCCTGTCCAAATCCCCATGTTCCATTTCTAATAGATATTGTACATAGAGATATGTATATGTAAGCCTATAAATACATGTGACAAAACACTTCATACATCACCAACCACTAAGGAAAAACAATGGCAGTCACCTTCTTTGCTCCATTGATCTGTGTTCTTGTTCTGCAATCCTTCTTCTTAAAGATCAACTCAAGCCCATATGGTTCCGATGTGCCAAAAGGCGATAAGGATTTGTTAGAGTTCCCATTGAATCTGGAGTACTTAGAGGCTGAGTTTTTCTTGTATGGCTCATTAGGGTATGGGTTGGACAAGGTTGCTCCCCAGTTGACTTTGGGAGGCCCTGCTCCTATTGGTGCCAAAAAGGCCAATCTTGATCCCATTACAAGAGATATTATAGAGCAATTTGCATGGCAAGAAGTTGGACACTTAAGGTATCGTATCCGCATTTTCCAATCTTGAATTTTTTTAACTATTTGTGTTGAATTCATTTGGTTTGTCTTATCTCATTCCTTGACTTCTTCCATTATTTAATATAAAGGGCAATTAAATCGACTGTCAAAGGATTTCCAAGGCCACAATTGGATTTGAGTGCAGGGTCATTTGCCAAGGTGATTAATAGTGCATTTGGGAAGAACTTGCAGCCTCCTTTTGACCCCTATGCCAATAGCATCAACTACCTTATTGCATCCTATGCAATTCCTTATGTTGGACTTACTGGATATGTGGGAGCAAGTCCCAGACTCCAAGGTGCTACTTCAAAAAGGGTAAGCCCCTAATATATGACGAGGGAAGAAATCAATAACATTCCTAATTCATAAGTGATATTTAAATCAACTTATTCTATAATTTTTTTCTTTTGCTTGTCAAATAATTATCCAATTATCTGTTGCGTACAGCTTGTTGCGGGGCTTTTAGGCGTGGAGTCTGGTCAAGATGCTGTAATAAGAGGGCTTTTATATGAGAAGTCAAATCTGAAAGTGAAGCCTTATGGGATAACAGTTGCAGAATTTACCAATCGCATCTCCGATCTAAGGAACAAGCTTGGCAAAGCAGGGTTGAAAGATGAAGGCCTTGTGGTCCCTAAACAACTGGGTGCTGAGGGCAAGATCCAGGGAAATTCTCTTGCTGGTGACAAATACTCGGTTGCCTACGACAGGACACCTGAAGAAATTCTTAGAATTGTCTATGGAAGTGGCAATGAAGCCACACCTGGTGGTTTCTATCCAAAGGGAGCTGATGGGGCCATTGCTAAATCTTATCTACACACTGCAAACCATTAATAGTGTGAAACCTGGTAGTTTTATGTTATCACCATCCAGTTAAGCAATTATGTTTTGTGTATAATGTTGTTTACGATCGTGACAACACTAAATTGAGCCAAAAATTATGACATTTTGTTCTATTTATGTATCTTGAATTTTGAATTATAAACTCTTATTTAATACAATAAGCATCATTAGTTCTTTTCTTGTATGATAGTGACTAAAAAATCATCTTCTAATTATAAGCTCTTATAACAGAGAGACCGGTCCATATATTTACAAGTTATCATATCTATAGACTGAAATAACCAGTAAACTTAAAATCTGGATAAATATATAAGAATATCAAGTTCGCAACTCAAATTACTCGATCTTGCATCAACTATTAGAAATATTATCAGTAAAGAGAAACAGTCAAGATTGTCAAATCATTTTACTCAGGTTGGGAGAAAAACCTTTCATGGAATCATCTTATACAATTAATTCATAGTAACGACATGCAGAAAAAGCACTTCTACTTAGACCTGTCAATTTCAAAGGATACAAAAATTATAAAACCAAAAATAATATAATTAAATTATATCAAGATCAAATTGAAGTTGCAAATAATTTTGGTAAACAAGGTGCTTCGTGCCTGCTAGTCATGGGAATGAGATTCCTGTTGGTTTGTTGATTAAATAATTTATATTTCTCTACATTTCTTACGTGCATCTGTAAGTTATTTTGAACTTTTCAAGAAATGATCACGTCATTTGCAAGAATGATAATTCTTCTGAGTTATAACTTTTGAGTATTTCATTATCACTTAAAGTCAAGCATACAATTACCCATCTTGTTTAGCACCTGAGCCCGCGCATCTTACAGTTGTGCATTTTTTAAGCAAAAATTTTCAAATGAATAATTTCATTTCTTTTCAGCAATTTCACTACACAAGAGTCCTATCAAAATACCCATTTTGGGAATTCTACAACTAAAATTTATAACAAGAAAAAGAACAGCATATGTGGGGGTTTGGATCATTATTATTATTCTTATAATATTATTGTTAAATAAACCTATTCTTATAATATTATCGTTACAATAAACCTTTCACCTCAAAAAAAAAATAATAGTATTATTATAATAAATTTTAAACTAATTGTTCATGATTGTAATTAAGGAGTATTTATAGTAACCAAATATTATTATTAGTACTATTATTATTATTACTATTACAGCTATTATCACGTTATATCACCATGATCGTTATTATTATTATTGTAAACTATTACTAATAAATGAGCCAATCGCTTTACGTGAAATACAAGCTATTTGGTATTATTGTCATTTTAATCAATAATAGTTTTGCATCTAAATCAATTTTTTTTATCCTTCACTAAAGTCATACTTACACCTAAATGGACGAATTATTATTATATCTTATATTTCTAATCAAATCAAAATGACCATTATTTCTTTACTTACTAAAATAATTCATTTGAAGACAAAAAAAGAATATCGTAATAATTAATTTTAACTCCAAAAGGAACCTTACGTATCCAAAATTTCTTATTTCTTGTTGTTCTAATTATTTTTATTATTTACCCTGCAAGTAATATACTTGTCTCATATGCATTACAGTTAAGTATTCGATTCCCAAATCCCCATGTTCCATTTCTAATAGATCTTGTACATAGACATATGTATACGTAAGCCTATAAATAAATGTGACAAAACACTTCATACAACACCAACCACTAAGCAAAAACAATGGCAGTCACCTTCTTTGCTCCATTTATATGTGTTCTTGTTCTGCAATCCTTCTTCTTAAAGATCAACTCAAGCCCATATGGTTCCGATGTGCCAAAAGGCGATAAGGATTTGTTAGAGTTCCCGTTGAATCTGGAGTACTTGGAGGCTGAGTTTTTCTTGTATGGCTCATTAGGGTATGGGTTGGACAAGGTTGCTCCCCAGTTGACCTTGGGAGGCCCTGCTCCTATTGGTGCCAAAAAGGCCAATCTTGATCCCATTACAAGAGATATTATAGAGCAATTTGCATGGCAAGAAGTTGGACACCTAAGGTATCGAATCCGCATTTTCCAATCTTGAATTTTCTTTAACTGTTTGTGTTGAATTCATTTGGTTTTAGTCTTATCTCATCCCTTGACTTCTTCTATTATTTAATATGAAGGGCAATTAAGTCGACTGTCAAAGGATTTCCAAGGCCACAATTGGATTTGAGTGCAAGGTCATTTGCCAAGGTGATTAATAGTGCATTTGGGAAGAACTTACAGCCTCCTTTTGACCCCTATGCCAATAGCATCAACTACCTTATTACATCATATGCAATTCCTTATGTTGGACTTACTGGATATGTGGGAGCAAGTCCCAGACTCCAAGGTGCTACTTCAAAAAGGGTAAGCCCCTAATATATAACGAGGGAAAAAATCAATAACATTCTTAATTCATAAGTGATATTTAAATCAACTTATTCTATATTTTTTTCTTTTGCTTGTCAAATAATTGTCCAATTATCTGTTGCGTACAGCTTGTTGCGGGGCTTTTAGGCGTGGAGTCTGGCCAAGATGCTGTAATCAGAGGGCTTTTATATGAGAAGTCAAATCTGAAAGTGATGCCTTATGGGATAACAGTTGCAGAGTTTACCAATCGCATCTCCGATCTAAGGAACAAGCTTGGCAAAGCAGGGTTGAAAGATGAAGGCCTTGTGGTCCCTAAACAACTGGGTGCTGAGGGCAAGATCCAGGGAAATTCTCTTGCGGGTGACAAATACTCGGTTGCCTACGACAGGACACCTGAAGAAATTCTTAGAATTGTCTATGGAAGTGGCAATGAAGCCACACCTGGTGGTTTCTATCCAAAGGGAGCTGATGGTGCCATTGCTAAATCTTATCTACACACTGCAAACCATTAATAGTGTGAAACCTGGCATTTTTATGTTATCACCATCCATTTAAACAATTATGTTTTGTGTATAATGTTGTTTACGATCGTGACAACACTAAACTGAGCCAATAATTATGACATTTTATCCCATTTATGTATCTTGTAGTTTGAATTATAAACCTTTATTTAATCGTATACAATAAGTATCATTAGTTTTTTTCTTGTATGATGTTGACTAGAAAATCATCTTCTACATATAGACTCTTATAACAGAGAGACCGGTCCATATATGTACAAGTTATCATATCTATAGACTGAAATAACCAGTAAACTTAAAATCTGGATAAATATATAAGAATATCAAGTTCGCAACTCAAATCATTCGATCTGGCATCAACTATTTTCTAATTTTATATATTATCAATAAAGAGAAGCAGTTAAGATTGTCAAATCAATTTCACTCGGGTTTGGAGAAAAACCTTCTATGAAATAATCTGATGCAAGGAACTCACAGGAATGGTATGCAGAAGAGAAGCGCTTCTGCCTTGACCTGTCAATTTTAAAAGATACAAAAGATTATAAAGCCAAAAATAATATAATTAAATCACAACTTGATCAAATTGAAATTGCGAATAATTTTGGTAAACAAAATACTTTGTGCCAGCTAAACATTGGAATGAGATTCATGTTAGTTTGTTGATTAAATTATATATATTTCTGTATATTTCACATGTGCATCTATAAGTTGCCTTGAACTTTTCAAGAAATAGCCAAGTCATTTCAAAGAATGATAATTCTTCTGACTTTGCAACTTTTCAGTATTTTATTATCAGTAAAAGTTGCACATACATTTAACAGTCTTGTTCTACACTCACGCTGTCTGTTTGACGCATCTTACTACTGTGCATTTCTTTAAGTAAAAATTTTCAAATGAATAATCTTGTTTCTGTTCAGCAATTTCACTGTACAAGAGTCCTACCTAAATACTAATTTTGGGAATTTTACAACTAAAATAATCATTTCTTCACCTATCGACATTAAAAAGCTTCAATCTAGAATAAGAACTTATTTATCAACTTAGAGGAATAACTCCTACCAGCATATGGGGTTTTTTGAACGAAGTTATAAGTAAGGAACTTGTTGTCCTTAGTAAGCATAACGCCATTTTCAGGCTATTTGTCAGCTTAAAAATTCTGTATGAAATCTACAATCAAGCAACAAATCAGTGGATGGGCGTCAAAACTTAATATGAACATTGTATAACCCAAAACCTTTTACTTCCACCGAATGAAATGGAAGTGGTGAGTATAAAGTTCATTGTGGTTGGAACTAAATTTACCCGCAATCAGGTACCTTCAATTGTTTGTCCAAACACTGTACAAGAATACAATACTATACACGACTTGCAAAATGCTCTTGTCCAAGTATGGGTTCATGCCTTAAGTAGGGAGCTTTTGCAACAAGCACATGAAAATGACTTTAATCTCACGTATTATCGAGATGCAAACCCTTGTACACAAGTATTTACATATCAATTAGAGTACAATAAGTTTCCCAAGGTTCTCAACAGAATAAAAAAGATGACCCTGAATTAAAAAACTTAGGGTCTGGAACCAATTATCATTAACTTTATCAACGTTATTGTTGTCCTCAAAGGCTCTTTTATTCCTTTCCTTCCACACCCACCACCCAAAAAGTAGCAAGGGAAATAAGGCTCACATGTCTTTCCTCACCTCTGATCCCTTTTGACGCCAAAATTTCCTCCCTTATTAAACCATTCATCGTCCAATTAATACCCAATAGGCTGTAAGAAAGAGTCTATAGACTATATGCAAATGGTACTGCAGAAGTAGATGGTTACATGACTCTACATCACTTCTGCACAGATAACAACCACTCACCAAACCCTAGCCCTTATTATCAGCTTGTCCAATGTTAAAATGCACCCTCCAGCAGCCTCCTAAGCAAAAAAACAACTCTATCCGATGCTTGTAAGGGAAGCCTCTTCCAATAGTCTCTCTTTGTCAAGTAGCTGTAGAAGGAATTTACAGAGAAAGACCCTTCATCATTAAGACACCAGAGCGAACGGTCTCTACTCCCATCAATCTTGAGTCTCACAAAGGCAAGGAGTAATGATGTGAAAATCACTGAAGAAAAGATCTGTGATAAACAGGAGTCTATAAGACTCCTGAAGGAAGGAAAAGGCTAAGCGATGATGAGCTTCTTGGACATACTCGTAAGTGTTCCTGAACAGACAGTGCTCAAGTACAAGCCTTAGACTGCAAATCAGAATTTAAAACACCAGGGAATCGGACTAAGAAGAGGCAGAATTGGAAAAGACGGGAAACCAGGAAGTTATTGAGCCTTACAGCCAAGGAAAGACTTGGCACACGAATCCCGGTGCAAGAAGAAGCCCAAAAGATGGTGTGGGTGTGGATCCCCGTATCCCTACACGTGTGTAGGCCTCCACCCGTGTGACACGTGGTTCCGGTCCAGTACCGTGGACACACTGGCAGCAGTGGCCACACCATGCGCACAAGCGCGCAGACGCTGGCCGCATGCACAGCCCGTGGGCATGCACGGACAAACCCTCCCGCACACCCAGCATGCACGCCAGTGCACGCAGGACACACGCAGCAGGCGCACGGCAACGCACATGTGCGCAGGCAGCTGGTCGCATGCCCAGCAACCTGTGCACACGTGACCCGCGCCCAGGAAGCAGGCCTGCACCGCCCACCTGGCCCAGCCAAGCAACCCGCAGCCTAGCCCACACAACCCACAGCCCGACCCGCACACCAAGCAGCCAGCCCGTGCTGTTCACTCTTCATAGTCCTCTTTGAACTCCAAGATTCACTTTTCCTACTTCTACAAGGTGTCCAACCTTCCCAATTATTCCATGTGCAAAATATGTCAAATTTAAAGGTAGACGAGAAGATATCCTTGAAAAATTAGGAGAAGGGAACTATTATTTAATATTATTTAAATATAAATCCTTATCTCTAAGATTATTTAATTAATAAAATTAAGATAAAAATAATAAATTTTATTATTTAATTAATTATGTATTTATTTTTCAATTAAACTAGGAATTAGAATATGGATAGGAATCCTAAATCCTATTCCATGTAGAAATAGAAATCAAGAGCCTATATAAAGGTCTTAACTCATGCATTGTAAACATACCTTGAGAATTAATAAAAATTAAGATTTGAGCTTTCTATCTAAATTAGCTTAGTGCTAAAAATTAAGATTTGAGCTTTCTATCTAAATAAGCTTAGTGCTAATTTTCTTCTCTTCAAGTTCTTCGAAGGTAGGTGAGCTTACCAAAGTCTTGATTGAGCCGAAGAGTTGGGATTGACTTATCGAGTAAGTCGTGGCGTCCTTCCTTTTCTCGTTTTTGTTTTCCTCTAACTTTTTTTTTATATTCCTAATTTTAGGCTTGTGAATTCAATTAAAGAGAGGGGTTTAACTAAGAAGTTAAGTTTTGATATTGCAGGCGATTGGATTGAGGTTCCAGGAGTCAAAACAATCATTCCCATACCCTCCCACGTCAAGTTATGTCTCGTAATTCCTAACTTCCTAGTCATTGAGGTTCTTCATGACCTTCTTTATCATTAAGATACTAGAGTCAGCGGTCCCTACTCCCATCAATCCTGACTCTCGTAAGGGCGAAGAGTAATATCTCATACTCCCTAACTTCTCAATTATTAAGGTTACTTGTGACCTCCACATACCACTCCCCATACCCATAGTGTTAATGTACGCATCTTGTAGCAAGACATCTTTGTTGCAAGCAATGGCATATGTCTAAGAAAACTGAGCCTGTTAGTCCAATTTTGCATACTTCAGGATCTGTAACTGCCATCAACACTGTCAATCGAATTGACAAGTTTTTTTCTCATCACATTGTGGTACTTCCTTTTAGTAAGGCTACTTTGTTGTGAGAGTAGGCTCCTTGGATAATGCATCGATCTGGACCATTAGCTTTCTTGGCACTTGCTAAGAAATATGCAATCTTGTTTACATTGTGCATGATTACATATAACACCCGATTCGAAAATTTGGCACGAGATAATTTTACAATTAATAAAATAATATATTAAAATAATTCATATTTTTATTTTATTTTAATTTTGTGAAATTTTAAAAAAAATAGATTTAGGAATGAAATTAAAAACAATTTTAAAAAAAAAAATGTGAAACTGTGAATAAGGGAGGATATTTTTGAAAGAAAAATTCAAAATACGGGTATAATCGCAAAAAGAAGAAATACAGCCACGTGGGACGGCTACATCAGCAGGAACAGCTAGTCAGAAGGCGCCACGTGGCGGACACGCTAACATCGATTCCACACAGGAAGCCACGCGAGCAATCCGTGTGCCAGCGAATCCAAAGGCCCAAATCGCATCCCGCGCGCATGGACGGTCCAGATATGTTTCCTCCTCAGGCGTGATCGAACGGTCAAATTCAATCCAATTATGCGGCCCAAATTCATTCCCCGAATAAGAGAGGTCCAACGGACGGGAGAGAGCTATGTGTCCTTGCACGGACGATCTAGATTGACTTGAGGAGGGTATTTAAACTTCGCATTCCATAAAACTCTAACTCTAGCCGCACCAGTCCTCGTCGGAGAAGAAGAAAAAGGGCGGCCGGAAAGAAATTGACCGTCGTTGCCGTCGCACCGAAGTCATCGCTGATGCTGAAAAGGTGTTTTTTTCCTCATTCTCGTTCAGAATTCGATTCTAAGCCTTCCCACACCCGTATCGGAGCCGAAAGGCTAACTGGTGAGCCAGAAAACACAAGCGAAGCTCGTTCGAGCCGCCGCAGCCGAAATCCAAAACCTCCTCTGATGAACTCCTTCCCATTTTTCGTTTTCCTCGGTTTTCTGACCATCGTATTCCTCGTCATTTTCTGGTACAGGTTAGCCGAAGGAGAACCCCGGTCCTGAAGGAGGAATGATGGACCGCCGCATCCGGAGACCCTTCCACCAGTAATGTTTTGGTTTTCGCCTTTTCCGGGCAACAAAGGCCCCCCTAACTTGGTTTTTTACAGATTTCCATGCAAAAGCGGCCTAAACCGGCCTAAAATGGCCAGACCGAGAGGAACCACCGCCGTGGACAGCAGAGCCAGCGCTGGAGCACGGTAGCGCCGCCGTGCCGGAACCCTAAATTAGCCGAAAAAATTTAAAAACACATATTTTAGCCTTTTAGAACATTTTTGAATACATGATGGGTATTTTTAATTTCCACAAGAAAAATCCAAGAAACCTGAAGACCATCAGGAGGCGTAGTGAAAAGTACAGTGTTTCGAACATTAATTCAGAGTAAGAATCTCTCACCTTTTTTTCTATTATGGTAAATTGAAATTTAATAATCAATAACATTATATTTTGTGAAAAATAGAAATCCTTAAAATTAATTACAAATCATTAGTAGAGTCAAAACCGGTTAGTGTATATTTGTCCTATCTTGTTGTTTATTTTCTCTTATACTGCTTAAAATACTTATTATTATATCGTATGCTTTAAATTATTGATTTTAATTACTTTCTCGGTTATTTAGTTTATCTACCCGTGTTGTCCTCATCTGTTGATTGGTTTTCAATGAATGTTCTAATCATATCTTCTTAATTCACGTATTGTCCATTTGCATGATTTACTGTTGATTTGTAAAAATGTGATGGTATGTGATTTGGTGATTGGTTGATTATGTGAATTCATGTATCAAAGACCTATCGGGTACCCTAGGAAAGGGTGTACGGATCCCGTACATAGGGAAAACCTTACCGTGAGCATTATCTCAATCGAACAGGGTTGAGAAGTCTTATATCGGAAGAGATTGCGAGGTATAATTTACCCTTATACCGGACAAGGTATTGAAACAGTGGTATGTATGGCGCCCATTACCGGACGGGATATGGGAATGGTTGGTTAATCAATAACTTGGATATTAAGGTTCACATAGGGAGGATCCCTATAAACCCTTAGGGGTACTAGTAAGCAGGTAAAAAGGTAAATTGTTGTTATTACTCATTTGATTATGAAATCACAATGTTATTCGGGTATTGTCTTCATATGTTGGTTTTCAAAACTCATAAGAGTAAGTATGAAATAACAGTTTTTAAGTTAAACAAATTTATTTAAAAAGAAATAATGGCTCAACTAGTTGTTTTATGATTTTTTACCAACCTTTGGTTTTACGTATCGGTGTTAAATGTGATATTCTTACTGTTCTAGTGCAGCTCATTCCCCCTATTTAACCATTTCATATTAACAAAACCAATATTCAAACCTAAACAGTAGGAGGGTTGCGATTAGAGGTCACCTCCCGGACTCCATCAGAGTCACCCAGCGGAGCTTAACTCCATAAAATTTTATTTCATTTTGTTTTAACTATTTATTCTATTACTATGAACTGTTATAAATGGACATTCCCGTAACCTTATTGAGCATCCTGATTTACTGTGTAAGAAATGTAAACCCTAAATTATTAATTGCTTCCACCTATAATTAATATAATTCAATATTTCTATTTCTCTAAGTTTTAAACCTTTACATTGCAGATGTGGTCTCTCGTTACAATTCAAGAAAAAAACCAATTTATTGTTGAAATGCCTGGAAATCCCCCGTGACACATGCTCTAGAAACAAGTTTTTGTCTATTAGTCTAGGATATATATGGTAGAAGTTTGTCACTCGTCAAACCCAAACCAAACCGCTTTAAGTCTGTCCCAATTAACCAAAAGTGAATGATTATGGGTCGGATCGAGTCAAGAGGTTTTCTGATACCAAGTGAATCGAATTCGAATTTGGACACGTAAAACTCGTCCAAACTCAACTCAATACTACATATAATATTATATATTTTAATATACAACAATTTTATCCTCCTACCTAACCATATCCACATTCTGGATTTAAAAAAAAGGAACCAAGAAGAGAGAGAAAGAGAGAGAAATAGAGAGAGAACTTGCTAGAAAATTTGAATTTTCTAACCCTTGGCTGGTGGGAAGAGCAGCAAGGCTGAGTGAAGGCCATAGAGCATGTAAATTTGTAGTCGGGTTGCACCCCATTGGTGCATGTGAATATATATTATATTTTTTCTTCCAAAAGAATATATATGATATTTTAATATAATTAATATCTCATATATTTAAATAGTATTGATATTATATATAATATTTTAATTTACTTAATATATAATATTTGTTATGCTCAAGCAGGCAAGACAGTTTTAGCCTGAAATTCTAACAGGCTTAGATATACAATATTTTTATGAACCCCCATAGGGGGTTCAGGTTTCTTTATTTTAAGGAAATCGGACGGTTCTCATGCTTCATGAAACCCCGTTCGTATTATTTATAAAAAAAAAAATGAAACCCCGCCCGTATCCGACACATTGTCATCTCTAATACGAGATCAAGTCACAAGTAGGTTGATAGAGAAGTCTTCAAGTAAGTGTGTAGCTTGCTTAGTAGGTCTGCAACCGTGACAGCCTAAACCCACGTTCTCTTGAAAAACACTATTTTCTAGAATAGATGTAGGATGCTTTATTTATTATTGGGATAGGTAAGTATAGAGGTATCACTCCTAATTATGAAACCTAGAAAATAATTAAAGTAATATGATTAAGAAAATTCTAATATTAACTTTCAAATACACCTAATATGAAAATTCTAATATCAACTTCCTAATACATCTGACTTCTTAAAGTACAAATTCTAGTAGACCTAAAAGTCGTAAATAGGAGGTTGGCAGGGCTCCTAGAGGCTGCGGTTACTCTTCTGCTTTACTTCCAAGGGTGCTGGTTTGATAAACCTAAGTGGTGAACCGGTTAGGGTTTTTATTAGGGCTTATGTGAGTTTGGCACATAATAAAAACAAACATCCTATTTGACAAGAGAGTCTGAGATCAAATAAAAGATGAGAGATACCTTAGTGTTCATCCAGAATTAGGGAATTTTGTGAGCCCATCCATTCTTTCTTGATCCAAATTTCAACAGAAACTTGAGGAAATTACAGGATCAGAAAGAACTTGAAGCTTGTGATGGAACTTCCCAAGAACCTGATCATTGGCAATCCATATAGTTGGGTCCCAGATTACCACTTGCAAAGCTAAGGATAGGTTGAATTCAAAGCATGCCCAAAAAATATCATATTGAAAATCCATATTCAATTAAAACCAGTATCTGTACAATCTTGCCAATAATTGGACACTATATATATTTGTCCCCTGTGCTTTTCTTCTCAGCATTACCTATGATGTTATCCAGAATATGAACTGACCCTAAATGACCTAAGTTGCAGAAAAAACAGCGGACTAACACATTCCATGTGGCAATGTTGGGTCTGATCCCTTCATTTATCATGTTGTGAAGAAACCTTGTGGCTTCCTCAACCCCAATCCAATTGCAGATCCCCCAAAGAAGATTAGTGTATGAAACTATGTCAGGATGCCACTCTCCTCCTGCACTAGTTTTATCCAAAAGTTGGATGGCAGCACTGACCATTCCCTTCTTACAGTATGCAAGAAGTACCATGTTGTATGTGCTAACATCAGGCTTTTTTCCATCCATCAGCATTTTCCAAATCAGTTGCACATCCCCTTGATCATACCAGGCACGGGCTAAGTCCAGATAAAAGGATGTTATAAGTAATCAAACTCCATTTCATGCCTCTTTCTTCAATCTCTTTGCTGAGCTGGAAAGCTTCATTAATTTTATTTACTTTGGAGAGACCATGAGGTAGCTCATTAGAGGTTGTGGATATTAGGTAAGCACCCATAATCTCCCATTTCATCAAGCACTTCTAATGCCCACTCTACTCTTCCTCTGCCACATAAACTGTTGATAAGCACATTGAATGTAATTGCATTAGGAGGACAATGTTCCCTTGCCATCTTCTCAATAAGATACTGAGCTTGGCTAAACATAGAATGCTGACAAAGGAGATCGACCATGCAAGTGTAAGTCACAACATTAGGCCAGCAACCATTGATTACCATCTTGTTCCATATCTCAGAAGCACCAACCAAGCTACCAGCTTTTGCAAAGCCATCAATAAGAGAGGTATATGTTGTCACATTTGGACGGCACCCCTTTTTCTCCATCTGATGAAAAACAGATAGAGCTTCATCAACATTTTGATTTACACAGAGGCCATGAATTAAGGTGTTATACGCAATAACATTGGGTAAAAACCCCTCTCTGATCATCCTGCTCCAGAGGTCGAATGCTTCAGGCAGTCTATGTCTCATGAAACAGCCCTTCAGCAAAGAAGTAAAGGTCCAAATATTGGGATCACATCCTCTCTCAAACATCTGACCCAAAACTGCAAGAGACAGCTCAATATTCCCCACGTCACAAAGAGAATTAATGATTGTTGAGTATGTTATAACATTGGGGTCAATGTCCAATTCCACCATGTTTCTTAGCAATCCAAATACCTCCCTGAATTTGCTTTCTCTACAGAGCCCTTTAACCAGAGCATTATAAACACTCACAACTGGTTTAAATCCCACGACAAGCTCCCTTGCCTCGTCTACCATGTCAAGCTTACACATTGAGGATACTATAGTGTGTAACTCACAGCATCAGGAGAACACCCTTTCTTCGACATTTCTATAAGCAACTTGCAAGCACCATCCACCCTATTATTTTTACACAATGCTTTCAAAAGGATATTATAAGTAAAGACATTCGGTTCCATCCCATCTCTCTTCATGCTCCTATATATAGAATTAATCATCTGAAACCTACTTTCACTAAGCAAAGCATCCAAAATATGATTATAAATCTTAACCGTAGGCGTGCACCTGAATTCTCTGATTCTGTAGAACATCTTTAGTGCCTGCTCAGCTAGCCCCATCCTCTGATAAGAATTAATCACACTTACGAACAGATCTTCAGAACAACTGAATCCTTCCAGTTTCATTTGCTGCAAAAGGTAGTGAACGCCATCTGTTTCACATTCTTGTGCCAGTTTCTTGATCATAACTCGATATGTTAATGGGGTGTGTCTAAAGGTTCTTGAATTAGCTAAGAACTTGAAATACTGCATAGCCAGAGAGACGTTGGGTTCATTGATCAGTCTATGTAACACTTCAGATTCTTTGATTTTTTCTGGTTTTTGCTCATTTTGAATGTTCCTATCAAGACTGAAAACTGTGTTTGTGTTGAGGATAAATGGAATTGAAGGTTTGTGGAGTTTGAATAATAAGGAACATCCTTCTTTCAAGTACATTATTTATACACCACTTCTAGCCCTTCATTCAAAGCTGAAAACCTATAATCTCAAACTTGAAATTTTCTCTTTCAGAAAAATAACACGAAACCAATAAGAGCGTAAAAGGCCGTAATAGCTCTAGTACGGCCGTCAATCAACCTAAAACCTAAAACTATGGAGATAAGAACACGGTGATGAGAAGCACGGCTCGAATCACAAAACTCAAAGAAAAACATCCGTATAAAACAGCAAAAATATATACTATAACACAATACCTCAAATTACAAGGACTTAAACTCAAAATTTGCAAAGAGGCCGACTGACTGAGGCGAGAAATTCAAACTTACAAAATTCGGTGGAGAAATGTTGCGGTGGTGACGATTATACTCCCTGTGTAGACAGATGAAGGCGGCGGTACAAGATGATGCCACGGTGGTGCGCGAGAAACTGAAGACTGGAAAACGAAGAGAGAAGGCTTTAATTTATGATTTCAAAAACTATTGAGGTGGTGGTTAAAAAAAAGTTTGGGTCGAGGGTAAAATTGCAATTTTCTCAACCTTTAGGTGCCATGTTGTAATTTACAAACCTTTCATTAGACTATTCCAAACTCAACCTCTCCCTCTCCAATCAGCAGACGGCAATCATTCATCACTTCCTGAATCTCGTCGGCATCTCTGAGATACAGAGCCGGCGGCCGTGGGTAATACGCGTTCGCCCATCGTCTTCAACACAAGGTATGTCCTTTCTTCTTCTCCCACTGCTGTCTTCTTATTCATTTTAATGTACAGGTGAGGTTTTCCTTTTAAGCAAACCCTTTTCTTATATTTTTCTTTTGCTTCCCTTCTCTATTGAATTTTATCTTTTTGATACTTTCTAACTCTTCAGATCTCCTTGCAATTCGACATATTTATACACACATACACACACACACACACACATACATATTGGTTGCTTTGTGTTTGATTGGTACTTGATTTAAACTCTGTATGCTTTAGTGTTAGTAGATGCCTCTTCTCTGTTATTACATGGTGAAGCTGCAATTGAAGTAAAATTGGGATTTGAAATTTCTATAGGAGCTTGTTTGGATTTTTTTCTATTGACGCAGTGTTTGGTTTCCAAGTTCCGTTGCGTTCTTGGCAGTGAAATTTGCATTCTTTGTTATAATCTTTAGGTTTTTGTGTTACTTCGGAATAGCTAATAGTTTTTGTGTTACTTCGGAATAGCTAATAGATTACTGGGGTTGTGAAGAAGTCCAAGTGAATTAAACTGAGAAGAACATATACTACACTTGATCCTAGCCAAAAGGCCGAGAGAAGGTGTAAGAAGTCCAAGTGAATTTGATACGGTATTTGATCTATTTTGATAATTCTGTTCACTGAATGACTTTGTGGGTGAACTGGGTGTTGATAGAGGTCAGCTATCGTCCTTATAGATGCACTTGGCAATCACCTATTTGATAGAGAATTCATCAATTGTTGTTGATCAATTTTTCATTGCTTTCCTCTTACTTTGTTTACTGAAAACGTGCAATATTTGTGGTTGTCACTATTATCACAAATCATAGTTGAACACAAAATTTTACTTGGATTTACCATGTCGGCTGAATGTGGTACGCAGGATCATAACATGTACATATGCTAAATGCCAGGACTGTGACTGACTTCTTTTCAGCTCATTTTTTAGGGGCCCGTTCTCTTTCTTTGGGCTGTCTCCTTATGTGTTTATCTTCTTTATCTCCTCAATACACTTTGTGAACCCTTCATCTATCTTCCCTCTGAGTTCTTAAGCTGAGTACTTGATAGATCAGATTTCAGATTTTTTTCCTTGACTTGAAAGAAAAAGGTACAATAATGCTTTGCTTGTTTGAACAATTCATTTATTGTGCTTTCTGTTTTCAATGAACTTATCACTGAATTAGAAAAGAGAAGATATGGCTGGACATAATGGCTCGGGTTCATCAGAGAAGAAATCAAGAGATTCCACAACTGATATACCAACATTCAGCGCAGAGAATTTGCAAAGTAACATGAAAATTATATACTACAGGTTTGTATTTATTCTGATAGAAAATATTCCCCAATTATTTAACTTCTTTAGAATGCTTAGTTACCTTATTGCTGTAATAGGAAGGTTACTCCTTCAACTACATTATCTTGCCTTTACTTTTGCTCTATATCACTATATGTAAGGCTGGATATTTATACTATCCTAAACTCAATCTTTTATGCTAATCCCCAAGCTGTATTTTTCATTTACAGCCGAACATTTTTGTCCATCATCGGTGGGGTTGTTGCTGGAATTTTGGGGTTCACAGGCTTTGCTGGATTTATCCTTTATTTTGTTGTAATGGCAATTACTTCAGTGGGACTTATCGCCAAGGCAAAGTTCTCAGTAAATTCTTACTTTGATTCCTGGAACCGGCTCATACTTGATGGCTTTCTGGGTGGGCTAATGGTATGCTTTTCTATTTCTTTCCTACGTCTATTGCTTTATATAGGTTAACCAAACATCAGTTGACTCAAGTAAGCTTTATTCTTAAACGAGGTTGGGATCAGCTACATCCCTTTCATCAGGTTTCTTAACTAAATTCTATACTATAGAGAGTCTAATTTTCTTTGCCACTTAAAAGTTCAACCATTGTAGGCTCATTTTTCTCTTTATTTCTTTAGACTGTATATGTATATAAAGTCGTTTTTTGGCTTTATGTTGCACATATATCCAAATCATCTAATTTTCACTTAGGTTATCCTCCATTTATGCTGCCTCCTTTTTATACCGAGGCAGAGACTGTAAAACATCTTAATTCAACTGAACTTTTCTTTTAAACATGTTGATTAAGTTTTGGTAACAGTATAATAAACTTCTTTGTTTTGTGTTGCGTGGTATCTCAGATTTTGATTTTTCTATTTTGACTCAATTTCTGGACATAATGACTGCCAGTTTCCCTGTGCTTGGTTCATTTTTTTATTCAATCCTTAGTCAATTCCTACTTATAATTCGCCATAGTGTTATGTTAACAACATAATTAGAACATAATGAGATGGTAGTATCTTAAAACACAAAAAATTATGTTCTGCTTATGTCACATTTAGACTAATATTGAACCAAATGCAACCTTAATACATTTGAAATAACCACAGGAGAAGTTCAAGGAAGTTAAACACCAATATGTCCTTTTGGTTCTCTTTTGATAAGAACTGGTCATCATCTTTTTCAGCCATTGGAAAACAAAATTGATAGTCTCTGCCACTTCGGGTTACTTTAGTTTTTGCAGCCCTTAGGAGTTTGATAGTTCAGCACTTTTCAAGAAATTGCAATAGACCTCCCAACCATCACCAAATTAACTTATAATAGCGATGAACTTTTTACTTTATATTGTTAACCAACTACTACAAACTCATTGGAGTTGCATCGTTGAAAATATGTGCATTAATTAGCATCAACATATGCTCACTTTTTGTTCATTTCATCATTTTTATCACCTTAACCAAACTAACACAATTTCCTTCTTGTTTTTGTTATTTCACAGTCATTCGTGCTGTTTTGGACGTATCCTTTCCCAAGGTTGAAACAGTCACAAAAAATGAAAGAACACTTTCATGTTTGGTTACATTTTCATATCCTTTTATCTCTTTTTTGCTGTTTTCTTTGACGTAAACCAGATTTGCTTACGACATTGTCCATATATTCTGAGAATACATCGGCCAAATCTTGCATGGAAGGCGAGCCGTGCGCTGCTGCTGGAATCTCAACAGGAACTGGAATCTCAATGCGAAATTTGCTTCTTCTTTTTTATTATCCGTAGCAATTCATAGAACAATTTTGGATGAATCTCTTTGATCTTATTATACTTTACCTCTTGTGAGTAATTGCTGGAGGAGAACTTATTTCCTGATTGCTAACAATGTGAATGAAGGGGAAAACTTCAAATATAACACTATATTTGAAGAAATGTATTTTTTTTTTTTAATCTTAAATTTACAAGTTTATGTTTTTGTGTTGATAATCATTATAGATTATAAAATTCAATATGAATCAGCCACAAGCTTTTTTCTAGCAGGACATTCCATCAAGAGTCTTCTCTTGGTTATACCTCTCCAAGAGGAGAGAGGGGAATAGGGGATTGTCAAAAACACAAAAAGAAACCAAGCTGGTTCTTATTTTTGTCGCTCAAATGATTTTGCAAAGCTAGTTGTTTTTAGTTCATTGTTTCAATTACCAAATTAATTTTCCAAAATTCTGCATATTTTCAGACTGATTGGTTTCAGATTAAACTTATATTCGTTAAAGAATTCTTTTGTTCAATTAGTTTAGGAATAAAATAAACTTTAATTGTTCGTTTCGTCGTAGTATCGAAAAATTCAGATCTGAGTGTTCTTAAGAATATTTCTACTTTGTCATTACTGATTGCAACAACTGGCTTGAATTTTAATAGGAAGTCTAGTCAGAATTGCGAGGCTCTTGTGACTTGAATAATTACTGGGGAATACCTTACTGTCGTTCTCGATTCAGTAGACGTAGAATAGAAATTGTTAATAAAAGGTGATTGAAGGAAGTCCATCCAGCTTCTGGGCAACAAATAGCAGAACTTTGTATTGCATTTTAAATTATTTTACATGTAAAAATCGAAGAATAAAAATCCTGGTGTTCCAAATTTAACCAATTCCATATACACTACATTTGGCATTAAGTGTTGTCTGTATTTCATATCTTATCATCAAACCAATTTGTATTTGTGGTTCAGGGAAAAACCTTCCGTGGAAGAATCTGTGCCAATTAATTCACAGGAAAAGCAGGCAGAAGATATATTTCAATGCCTATTTCTGCTCAACCCTGTCAATTTCAAAATACACAGATTATAGGATCAGATAATAATATAAGCAAACACAACGGAATCAAATTGTCATTGCAGTTATACTCAGCAAAAACGCAATTCTTTGGGCTTGCTAATCCAATTTTCATTGAAGTTATATTCAGATAAAAAAAATAATAATTATATGGGCTCGCTAAACATAAGAACGGAAACTTCATGTGAAGAATGCTACAGTTAATTCAGGCTCACAACATAATTGTAATAACTAGCATTTGAGCTGTACCGCGTTCATATTCAAAGAATAATAGTTAAAATGCTAGTGCTCTCAATTAACATTGTAAGCTAGAGCTTCCAGTAATAATATCATGTCATTCATATTATTTTGTTAAATAAATTATAAGCATATTTCTGAGCTGTAAACATAGTTAAAATCTGGATGAAATTTTTTAACGTGTCAATCATTAGTTAACAAATATTTGTTTCAACTCAATCCAGTTCATAGATTTAGATCTGGTAACTTCACCAAAGCGTTAGGTAGATGACTACTTAACCAAACTTCTTTGGATCGTATAGGGGTTTGAAGGATTGATTACCCCTAAAATACTGTTAAATCTAAGAGCATATGGGGGTCTGAAAGCACTGATTACATCTAAAATAACATTTCCTTCGGCTCTAAACATTAGAAGGCTTCAAATAAAAATAAGAACTGATTTTATCAAGTTAGAGAAACAACTCATACCAGCATACGGGGGATCCGAAGAAACACAAAAGAAAGGAAGTATAGAAGACTTGAGATGGCCACTGCCGTAATGAGGTTGTATATAAGGCGTTTGTTGTCCTTAGTAGGCACAAATGCCACTTTCAATATATTTGTCAGCTCAAAGAGTCTGTATGAAACCTATAATCAAGCGATAAATCAGTGCATGTTCACCAATACTAAAGCATGAAGATCCATAAAAACATTTCACTTACTGCTATATAAATGGAA